GCGGACGGCGATTGCTTAGGGATTCCAGACGCAAGTCCCTGATTGGGACTAAATTGGTCCCAGTCCGGGAACACTTTTTGGTACAACTTTCTCCAAATTGAAATCCGATTGAATCGCTGGAATCAGACAGTCAAACTCTACATAATGATATAGTTTTTATTAATTATTGACAAACTTTAGAATTTACTTATTTTTGGGTCCTTCTCAGTAATTAATTAATTATCAATTAATTAATACTGATAGGCCTATTTTCGGGGCGTTACATTTCTCTCCCCCTTAAATAATTTCGTCCTCGAAATTACCTGAGTCATTGCTTGAAGAGATTCGGATATTGCATTCTCATTGACTCTTCGGTTTCCCATGTTGCCTCTTCAGTCGAGTGATTCCTCCATAGTACTTTGACTAAAGGTACGGATTTGTTTCTCAATTGTTTGACCTCTCGCGCTAAAATTTGTACAGGTTCCTCCTCATAAGTCAATTGTTCGTCAAGAGTTACACTTCTCTCAGTCAAGATATGTGATGGATCGGAACGGTATCTTTTCAACATCGATACATGGAATACGTCATGGATTATGTTCAGTTCTGGTGGAAGTTCTAACCGATATGCTACTGGACCCACACGTTCAGTGATTCGATAGGGTCCAATATATCTCGGACTTAGTTTTCCCTTCTTACCGAACCGTAACACTTTCTTCCACGGTGAGACTTTCAGAAACACCTTGTCATCAACATTGTATTCGATTTCACGACGTTTCAAGTCGGCATATGATTTTTGACGATCAGAAGCCACTTGCAGTCTTTCTCTGATTAGACGAACCTTTTCTTCAGTTTTGCGGACGAGATCAGGTCCTTCAAGTCTTTGCTCACTTAATTCTGTCCAGCATACTGGGGTTCTATAACGTCTCCCATACAAGGCTTCGTACGGGGCCATTTGGATACTTGCTTGATAACTGTTGTTATAAGCAAACTCCATTAATGATATGTATTGTTCCCAGTTGCTTCCGAAATCAATTACACATGCTCTCATCATATCTTCAAGGATTTGAATTGTCCTTTCGGATTGTCCGTCTGTTTGAGGATGAAATGCCGTACTAAAGTTGAGTTTAGTACCTAGAGCCTTTTGCAAACTCTTCCAGAATTGTGACGTGAATCGCGGGTCACGATCAGAAATGATAGACAAAGGTACACCATGTAATCTTACGATTTCACGGATGTACAATTCTGCCAATTTCTTCAAAGACATATCACGTCGAATTGGGATAAAATGAGATGACTTGGTTAGTCGATCAACGATTACCCAGACAGCATCATTCTTCTTGGTTGATAATGGAAGTCCGATCACGAAGTCCATCGTAATTCGTTCCCACTTCCATTCAGGATCAGTAGGTGGATGTAACAATCCGCTTGGCACTTGGTGTTCAGCCTTGACTTGTTGGCATGTCAAACATCGCATAGTGAATTCAGAAATTTCCCGCTTCATTGTGGGCCACCAGTATGTCTTTCTTAAATCTTGGAACATTTTATTACTGCCAGGATGCATGGTATATGTGGTTTCGTGAGATTCACGCATTAATCGTTCCCTCACTTCGCCACTAGGAACTACCAATCGATTCTGGTAAAATAAAATTCCATCTTTTACAGTGAAATCTTGTCTCTCCCCCTTAGAGACAAGTTCACAAGTCTTCAAACAGTAGTCATCACGTTTTTGTGCAACGTGAATTTCGCTCTCAAGGGTAGGTTGAATTCGGAGTTCGGCTATCATCTTTCGGCTCAATGCGTCAGCAACTACGTTAGCCTTGCCAGGGTGATAATTGATGTAACAGTCGTAGTCTTTGATCAATTCCAACCATCTTCTTTGTCTCAGGTTTAACTCTTTTTGAGTTAGCAAGTATTTCAGACTTTTGTGGTCTGTGTGAATATATGTCGTTTCTCCAAAGAGATAATGACGCCATATCTTCAGAGCAAATACAACTGCTGCTAATTCAAGATCGTGAGTAGGGTAGTTACACTCGT